AGGACCGAAAGAAGTTGATATGTATTTTGAAAAATCTAAGTGAACTAGAGCTGCAATGAAAGCTGTACATATGCATCATATAGATAGTAGTCTCCTTCTGCCTTTGTGCCAACCCCTTGATGTTTCTGTTTTCAGACACATCTACTGCCCAGCTTTCCGTTATTAAACCATTATGGTAAAACATGGGCCCACCCTTTCAGCTAACTAAGTGTTGCATAACCTCTGCCCCATGGGCCAGTGCACAGCCGCATCTGGTGCATGGGATTAGGTTGGTGCAGTCAGACACAGGTCTGGGTTGGGCTAGTGTGTGAAGTCAGAAGATTGGATACCACTGAGCTAACCTTAGTACTGTCAATTTTCAATTGAGAATATAAGTTTACAAGAGCAGGGGCCTCTCTAACCTCGAGGAAATGAAGAGTCATCAGAAGAGAAAAAATAGAAAAGGAGGGTTTTCAGAGCAGCAGGAAGGTCCTGTGGGGGGATCCCAAGTCCATCATGGGCAGAGGATCCACCATCAGTCCATCTCGCCCACCCCACTGGGGAGGTGGGCCTTAGCCCTCAACCTCGAAGACTGCTGACAGTCTACCAAGAACCACAGGATAGTGTTTGCATACTGGCCAGACATATCTTCCCTCTCTGAACCTGGAACTGGTAGATAAGTAGTATCAGGAGGTTATTTTGTTTGCCTTTCCTACATTATTCTTATCTGCTATCACTCTGTATCAATAAAATTTGCCTATTATCAAATGGAAGAAATTATGGTCAGTGTGAGGTTTTGGGTCTGCCTGAGGCAAGGTATCAGGACTGGGTCATGAGTCCAGTGCCAACAGTAGAAATAGGTGTTGTACTGTGTTTTCTCACATATAACACATACCATTTCCCCCACAATCAGCCCAGCAAAATTTGTGTGGATGTATTAAGTTCGGAAGCTAATTTTCTGCCCAGGATAGAAGCACCCTAATTACATTCCTGCTCCACTCCACAGGAGTGACATAATGGCTCATTGCTCTCTACTCCACCGGTGTTAACCACCTCCTCTCCTTTTTAATGGTCTTGATGTTCCATTAATCAAATTAACCTTTCTTAGGGCAATTTTTCTGACTGGTATCTGCTCCTGGTCTCTCTCTTCCTGTTTCATAGCCTAAGCAGGAAAAGGAAGATGAGTCAGATGAAGATTAGGCTCTATGCTATTAGCAGTCATAACTGAAAATATCTTTTTTCTTTATTCTGCCTTTCATAAACAAGGCATATATTATATCCCGGGGCATGTTGTATGTGAGAAAATACAATTGTTTAGTCTTTTGTTTTATTTTAGCCCTAATCTTGTCACTTATATTTTCTTTGGATCAATTGCACTCAAATCCTGTATCTCATGAAATTCACTTTGGTGTATTCATTCGTCTTCAGTCTCACAAACCAATCTGTTGTAGAACATTACTTTGTAAATTTATTAAGAAATCTAATACAGAACTATATCTCTTTATCATCATTACAATCAGATATTTGACTCCCTGGCTATGTGTTTGGCAATGTGCTTTGTACTGCTTAGTCATTTATACTGAATAGCTCAGGCCTGCAAAAAGGTGGCTTTTAATTTATGACTCTACATTCCTTGTTCGGGCTATATCAACATCATGTTGTGCTTGCCTCCATATTTATTGAAAATAAATCTAATCTCTGCCACTTATTTACTCCTGTACTCTTTCTTTATGGCATGGTATAGTTTTAATTACATGAACTTAAGTACTTTCATTGCTTACTAATACTGTAATTTGGAAACCCTGGCTTTAATGCCCCTTCTAATATCCATCGTCCATTTCTCATAATAACCCTCCTTTGACCTACCTATCCATTATCTCACATACTATTCACTCAGTCTCTAATGAGCACAGGTGATTAACTGTTCAAATTCATATGAGTTAGTTCATCATCACAAGTAGGCAGCATAACAGTCTCATCTCACCAATGAGTGGGTTTTTGCCATTACAGAAATGTTCTATAAATGAAGTGCTTGGTAAATATGCAAAAAGGCATCTGAAACTGCCAGTAGGTGGTGCTCAGTAATACACATAACATATTTTCTGGGTGTAATAGACAAACAAAACTTCTGCCTGTGGCAAAACCCAGGAGGCTCAGCTGCCAGAACTGTTTGTGCTTTTACATTAGGCCATCAGGAGGAGATGGGATTCAGCTGATCCAAAGAGGAAAAAGCATCTTCACAACAGGCTCGCTAACCTACTGAGGAGGTTTTTAAACTGGGTTTGTCGGAAAGCCCTAAGGTAAGTGGAGAAGTGGGTGACCTAGAGGAAACACAAGCAGGAGGGGTCAGTCTCTTCTTCCGGAGAAAGTATGACAACTGGCTAGTTAACTCAGGTGCCTGTACAAACATGCACTGAGCCTGGGAAACAAGCAGGAAGAGTTGGAAGTCCTCACACAGTCCTGAAACTATGACGTGACTGGAATAGGAGGGGCTTGGTGGGAGCTTGCACAACTGGAGCATTGTCATGGATGGGTATAAACAGTTCAGGCCAGGCAGGCAGGGGAGAAGAGGAGAGAGTTGTGCTGTATGTAAAAAAGCCATATGTTTGCTCAGAGTTCCAGTATGAAGCTGGACATAGGCCTCCTGAAAGTCACTGAGTTACGGTCAGAGGGGAGAGTAACAATGGTGATGTTATGGTGGGTGTCTGCTATAGACAACCAGACCAGGAAGACGTGGTAAATGAGACTTTCTTCAAACAGCTAGAGGAAGTTTCCCAATCACAGGCCTTGTTTTTTACTGGGGACTTAAATCACCCTGACGTGTACACAGGCAATCCAAGAAGTTTTTGGAGAGTGTTGAGGACAACTTCCTGGTGCAAGTGCTGGAACAGTCAACTAGGGGCTGTGCTCTTCTTGACCTGTTGCTCACAAGCAGGGCAGAATTGGTGGGGAATATAGTCATGGATGGCAACTTGGCAATGGTGAACATGAGATGACTGAGTTCAGGATCCTGAGGAAGGGGAGCAGCAGAGCAAGGACCCGGGCCTTCAGAAAGCAGACTTCAACTCACTCAGGAACTAATTGGCTGCATCACCTGGGGGGCCAGTCTGAAAGGGGAGATGAGCGTTGACTGTACTTTAAAGAAACCTTACTGAGGACACAGGAACAAATCATCCCAATGTGCAGGAAGACTAGCAAGTACGGAAGAAGACTAGCTTGACTTAGCAGGAAACTCTTCAGTGGGCCGAAACACAGAAAAAAGGTTCATAAGAAGTGTAACCTTGGACAAACAACTAGGGAGCATTGCTGGGGCATGCAGGGATGAAGTCAGGGAGGCCAAAGTGCAAGTGGAGTTGCAGCGAACAAGGGACATGAAAGGTAATAAGAAGGGTTTATACAAGTATGTCAGTAACAAGAGGAAAATCAGGGAAAGTGTGGGGCCGTTACTGAATGGGGGAGGCAACCTAGTGACAGAAGATGCAGAAAAGAACTGAATGCCCTTTTCACCTCAGTCTTCACAGGCAAGGTCAGCCACCACACTACTGCACCTGGCAGCACAGTTTGCAAAGAAGGGGAGCAACCAACAGTGGTGAAAGAACAGGCTAGGGACTATTTAGAAAAAATGGGTATGTACTAGTCCATGGGGCTCAATGGGATGCACCCAAGGGTCCTGAGGGAGTTGGCCAATATGATTGCAGAGCTGCTGTCCATCATCTTTGAAAACTCATGGCAACCAGGAGAAGTTCCAGACAATTGGAAAAAGGCAACTATAGTGCCCATCTTTAAGAAAGGGGAGGAGAAGGATCCAGGAAACTACAGACCAGTCAGCCTCTCCTCAGTCCCTGAAAAAATCATGGAGCAGGTTCTCAACAAATCCCTTTCTAAGCACTTGGAAGAGAAGAAGGTGATTAGGAACAGTCAGCATGGATTCAAGTCATGCCTGACCAACCTGATTGTCTTCTATCATGAGATGACTGGCTCTGTAGATGCAGGGAGATCAGTGTCTGTGATACACCTTGAATTTAGCAAGGATTTTGACATGGTCTCCCACAACATTCTCGCACGCCAGCTAAGGAATTATGGCTTGGTTGAATGGTCTGTACAGTGGAGAGAAAACTGGCTGGATCATTAGGCTCAGAGGGTAGTAGTCAATGGCTCAATATCTAGCTTGCAGCTGGTAGCAAGGGGAGTGCCTCAGGCGTCAGTCCTGAGGCTGGTTTTGTTTAGTATCTTCACCAATGACCTGGAAGATGGGATGGAGTACACCATCAGCATGTTAGAAGATGACACCAGGCAGGGTGGAGTAGTAGATATGCTGAAGGATGGAGTTAGGATTCAGAGAGACCTTGACAAATTTGAGACTTGGACCGAGAGAAATCTTATGAGGTTCAATAAGGAGAAGTGCAGAGTCCCGCACTTAGGACAAAACAATCCCATACACTTTACAGGCTGGGGACTAACTAGCTAAGCAACATGCTGGGGACTGGGTGGTTAAGCAGCAGCTCTGTGGAAAAGGACCTGACGGTTACAGTGACAGTAATCTGAATATGAGCCAACCAAGTGCCACTGTTGTGAAGAAAGGTAATGGCATACTGGATTCCAATTGTAGGCACGTTGCCAACAGATCGAGGGAAGTCATTCTTCTCCTCTATTCAGCACTAGTGAAGGCACTTCTTGAGTCCTGTGTCCAGTTGTGGGCCCCTGACTCCAGAAAGGATGGGGACGAATTGGAGAGAGTCCAGCAGAGGGCACCAAAAATGGTTCAGGGGCTGGGGGACATGACTTCTGAGAAGAGGCTGAGGGAACTGAGCTTGTTTAGTCTGGAGAAGAGAAGACTGAGGTGCAATTTAATAGCAGCCTTCAACTACCTGAAGGTGGTGCCAAAGAGGATGGAGCCAAACTGTTCTCAGTGGTGGCACATGACAGAACAAGGAGCAATGGTCTGATGATTCAGTAAGGGAGCTTTGGGTTAGATATTAGCAAAACCTTCTCACTAGGAGAGAAGTAAAACACCAAAACAGGTTACCCATAGAGGTTGTGAACTGTCCATCCTTGCAGGTTTTTAAGACCCCACTAGACAAAGCCTTGGCTGGGATGATTTAGTTGGGGATGCTCCTTTTTGAACAGGGGATTAGACTAGGTAACCCACTGAGGTCCTCTCCATCCCTAATTAACAAAGAAATTTGTCACTTTGACAGAAGATCATAGAATTGTAATTCTATGATTCCATGATCATTTGTCAAAAAACCAGCAAGGGCTAAAATCCAGGACTTCCCTGTCTGAATGGAGTACCCTTACCACTGGGCTTCAAAAATCCCATATTCTTGGCTTCCCATAGCCTGAGATTTAGGGCACTCTCCTAGGAATTGAATTCTGTGAACTAACAAAAGATGGACCGGGCAGCTTTTGGATGAAGGATGGAGGCTATCACTGTTCCAGCATCAGACAGTCACTCAGTATGGCCTGTTCCTACGTAAGGAATTGGGGCATTAAACAGCCCCAATGCACCTCCCAGTCTGATTTAGATCATAATAGAGCTTAGGCTGGGGTGAGATGCTTAGCTGACTGCTTCAGATATACTAAGTTATACAAGTCTTGACATACATGGATCTTTGCTAGGCAAAATTAAATTACTTAATGAATTTAGGCACCCAAGTGTTCTTACAGTGGCTGAAAAGAGTAAATTGGGATCACTGTGCCTTAGCATCAAAATCCTGCCTATTCACCTTAGATGCTGATTAGCACCTAGCTTTTTCTACCTAGGTTCCCATCTATAAAATGTGGATAATAACTGTCTACTAATCCTCAGAGGGATGTTGTGAAAACAAATGAATTAATGATTGTGAGGCACACCGATATGATCGGGACAGTGTAAATATATGTCCCTAAGACAGATTGACCTCTGAAGCCCATTTATGCAGTGAAAATGATATAAGGCTTAGTTATCTTAGGTATCATATACAGCATCTGGATGCAGAGAGTACAGCAAGATTCATACTATGCTGGCTCCATAGTCATCTCTCTGAGCAAGAAAAAGAAAACCAATGATACCATGAAGATTGTGACAGGGCACTGTGGGTGCCTGCCACTTTAAGGGCCTGGAGCCAGCAGCCAACAGGTACCTGATGAGGGCAGCCATTTTGGAGCTCGGGCTGCCCATATAAACAGGGAAGTTTTGCTGCTGGAGGCCAGGCAACAACATCACCTGGATGGAGGGCTGTTGGTATCATCTGGAGGTAAGGGAGCAGCTGTATGGGATGGTCAGGAGGCTCTGGGTCCTGGGTGCACCCTGCCAGGAGTGGGTGGCCTGGTGGGGCTCTCAGTGGCGTGGGAGCCCCCAGGAAATGCCAGGCCAGTTACCACCCCGGTGAAAGGCAGGTTGGGGCACCTTAACCCTAGATTCCACCTTTGGGTGGGTCAGGATATCTGTGGGAGAGGGGGCCAGGTACGGCAATGGCCACCTGAGCCACCTGAGGAGGGAAGCCCCGATACGCCGAGTAGAAGGGGTGATGTGTAAGATCACAGGGTAGCACCATGACCTGCTGCCCTGGGGGGGAGTGAGAGTCCCCTGTGAGACCCTGGAGCACCAGTCGTGGTGTGAGGTACCCCAGCTCCCCACATCTGGGAAGATGGACCCAGAGAGAGTGTGCAGCTAGTGAGGCTGGAGGTAGAGTGCCCCCTCGACTGGTCCATGCTGGGGCCAGGACCGAGAAGGTCAAAGGGCTAAGAGCCCACCGTAAGGGGCACCCAGAGTCGTGGGCCTGGGGCCCTGCCTGGCCTTTGAGGTGGAGCCAGGGCCTGTGTATGGCCGAAGGTCCTGAGTGGGGACCACACCTGAGAGGGGAGCCAGCTACAAGGAGCTCGGTAGCCCGGATGAAGGGGGTGTAGGGCACCAGAGTGGAGGGATCTAAGGAGGGTCCTGTCAGGAGGGTTCTGGAGCCTAGTGTGGGGCTGGTGTGTTTGTGAACATCCGGATGCCATTTGCAAAGCTTGGGCTGCAGTGTAGGGGAGGAATGGAGCCGCAGATAACACCCCCTGGCATGCAGGAAAGGGCAGCCTCCCACTTAATTACATCAATGAACTAATTACCAACAAGCCGTGGTGGGTGAGAAGGTTGGCGGTTAGCCCAGAAACAGGTGCGCGGGCCACAGAGAAATCAGCCCCGAGAAGGCCCCCTGTTACAAAGTTACATAAAAACACCTAGGGAGTGAATTTTGTCCAGGCTTACCAAATAAGAGAATATTCAGCTTTGACCTCAAACACTCATTGCAGATGGAGGCCACTTTAAATTCATTTCTGACTCTCAGCTTGCTGATGATTTTGCACTTTCAGACACAGAAAAAGGTCTGTCAAAGTAGCACTGCCTGCTTGCAATATTCTCTTCCACCTCCATGAAGTGGATCCATTCTGAAGAGTGACTCCAGATGCTTGCTATGTAGGTGGGAAAGGATCTTCAATCTTGTTCTTAATTACTGTGGCTCAAATTGATTTGACCTGAACTCTTTCTGCCTTTCAAGTACAGCAGGATCTACAGGCGAGCTCCCTAGCTTTTTGAACTAACATGCTGGCTGACAAATAAGTAATTGTAAGGAACTGATTTATTGCCCAGCCAGACACAGCTGGATGTGAAATATTAATTTTTAATGTAAGAAACAATTTCCATTTCTTTTACCCATAAAATCCAATAAATTAATCCAAGCGCTTACAAATAATTGATATTTCACAATGGAGAGATTTTTTTTTTTTTTTGCCACTTACAAATGTGCCTCTTTGAAAACCTAATGCTTTTAAAGAGAAGATGTTTGTGAATTTCAAGGCTACAAATATACCTCAGAGCTCTGCCGACATCAAAATAAGCCATAAAAGCAAAAGCGAGAGTGGTTTATGATGCCACTAGGACCCCAAAATATAGCCTTGTCCAGGTTTTATTTTTTATCTTATATAATGCATGGATCCTACTACAAATTACAAGCTGCTATCCATTCAATTCTCTCTTGTAGCTCGTTCTTGCCTTCCCAGCTTCCTTATAACCTATTCTTCTGCAAGCTTTAACCAACCTAAAAAGGACAACATGAAGGGACAGTTCCTGACTCATAGGATTGATGATAAATTGGTGACCTTACCTCTATGATCTTGAGGTAGATAATGAATGAAAGTGACTGTCGTCTGCTAACTATGTGACATGAATGTGTGGTCACAGTCCATTTCTTAGTAGGGCGGTGTGCATCCTAGCTGGAACCATTTTTGGTGCTCTTATCATTGACAACAAAGGCCCAAGCACTCTACCTCTCCCTGATAATTGGGACCAGCATTCAAGCAGAGGAGTGTAAGGGAGCTTGCATAGCTTCTATCTATACTGGAAATCAAGCAAAGATAAAATGCTCATGATTCAAGGCCTAACACAAAGGTCAAGTATACTTAAGGCTCTTATTTGTGTCACATGTGCGGTAACTTCGCATAGTCACTGCTTATGGGTAAAACCCATACCTTTCTCCAATAACGAGAGGTCTACTGAGCTTTAGACCATGCCTCTTTAATCATTACCAGATGCACTTCTCAAAAACAAAGAGAGATAGTCTTCTAAAAGCCAGAAAATTTTAGTGCAGCTGCTACTATTAATTCCTGCTATCTTCCGCCACGTTCCAGGTAGCTTTCACTTTCTATTTAGCCAAAGAAATCAGAAGAAGTGGGCAAAACCTTGCACTTTCATCTGAGGGAAAATGCCTCTGATGGAGGCTACCACAGTGTTGGGGAGGGACAGAGGAGAATGCTTTGCAGTGCATTGGCTGTGTCTTGAATTAAGTTTCACTGTCACAATTCCTAGGTTTTTCCCCTTAATGAATACTGTTTGTATTCTCATAACGCTAAGACACTAGAGCCCATTGCACAAGACACAGCACATATATCAACAGAATCAAAGGTCAGCCTGATCCTAATGAGCTAGTGTGGTTAAGGCACGCTGAATTCAAACAGAGAAGGGAAGGTGTTCACATCACACCCAGCTGCTTGTGACTCCCCTGCCTGAATGACAGCTGACTTAAGCAGGAGCAGCCTTGACACAAATATGATAGGACTCAAACTCATGTCCCTAGAACTGCACCATACTGCTCTCCTGCCATACTCCAGCCTGGACAGATACTGCAAGAGAAAATTCATGATTTTCTAGGATCAAAATTCTAAGCCAACATGTAAGGCCAACATCCCATTTTACAGAACAATTATTAGCACACAGAAAAATTCGCTGATTTACTCAGCATCACAAAAGAAGTCCAATGCAAAATCAAGAACCTAACCCAGATGAGTCTAGTCACCATGTCCCCACCACAAGACTCACCCTCCTGCTTCCAATGGTAAAAACTCTTGAGGTATTACCAACAAATCTGCAAGACCCCTTTGATCTGGCTTTACTGCTTTGCTCTACACCCCTGCTAATGGCTAGGAAGTTGCTGAAGATAAGACTCCTAACTGCCACAGACACAATCTCAATTTACCATGATGCCATTTGGCCTTTTACCTTTGTCTGCTTCATAGACCCTCATCTCTTGTCTTAAATCTAGGGTCAGCTAGGATAAATTGACACAGCCCCGGTGACTGCAGTGGAGCTATTCATTAGCTGAGAATATGCTCCCTAAGTCATTAGCTTTCTGGAACACTGATCCCTAGGCACCAATGTAATACAAATAAGTAATAATATTAATAACACACCTGAATCATCTACTGTTTCCTTGGGGATTCCTGCCTCTACTTTCCTGAATCCCCTGTGCTGAGTCGTGCCATATGAATATCAACTAAGTAAGCAAGGAAGCAGGTCTAGAGGGACTGAACGGTGGAAGCAGATGCACTGTGGCATTCTTGCTGTTATTAGTAACATGATTACAATTCAGAAATGTAGTGCAAATCCTTTTGCCATGTCAGCCATCAGAGAGAGACACAAGAGAGATAAAAGTTACAAAGTGGTAAAAACCTGCGTGTTGCCTCAGGCATGTTTTTGTTTAGCTCCATTCATCTCAACATTTGACTCTTAATAGTTCACTTTTGTTGTTATGACTGAGAAATAAATAAGACTATTAAAGAACAAATTTTGTTGAGGCAAAGTACAGGAGTTGGCATTTTGCAACACCCAAGATACAGTGGTAGCTGCCAAGGTGTCTTGCTCTTATTTCATG